CAGATACAGAGCTGTGAAGTAGTTCAGAGTCACTGGTTTATCTAAAGATCCCTGACCATTGCGTTATAGCACCTCAGACAGTATTTGTACAAGACTCTGGGATAAAGAATTTTATAACTCCTATTTGAGAAAAAAAGAAAGCCATAACCAAAGTCTCTGTAGTAAAGCCAGTGCTGAATGAAAGGAAAAATAGTAGGAACAATAGGTCCTGGCTTGGTAGGGAGAAAAGAGGAAGATTTGGGGAGTGATACTGGTCAGTAGATGCTGTTTTCTTTAGTGGATTGAAAATGCTGTTTGCACACACACTTGTGTATACATGTTTTATCAAAGTACTGAGTTTACTTTAAAATAATGCTATCTAGAAATATGTTTCAGTAAACATTTTTGTACATTTGTCAAATGCAGTTGGTAATGTTGGCCTTTATGGGTTTCTTTCTTGCTCCATTGCTTAATCCCGCCCCCCCCCAAAAAAAAACATTTTTCCTTTCTTCTGACTTTGGTATATAAACAGTAATAACTCTTACTATACTGCATGTTTCCTGCTTGGTTTTTTGTTTCATGTAAGTGTGTATGTATGTATTTTTGTACTGGGGATCAAACTCACGACCTCACGCTTGCCAGGCAGGTGCTTACGCCACTGAGCTAAACCCCCGGTCCCCTCTACTGCATGTTTAAGTTTTCAGATGTCTTTATATATGCTGCCAGTTTTAAGATTTATTGATGAAAATCAAAATTTTGAATACAATTAAATACGTAATTCCATTACAGACTTATTCTTGGGCTGGGTATGAGCTCTGTGGTAGAAGATGTCCCTCGCATGTGCAGTGGCCTGGCTTTGATCCCTCCCTCCAGCCTAAAAAAAAAGGAGAGAACTCCCATCTGAGGAGTTTTGACTCCCAGCATAAAAAAGGAAAGAAAAGAATATTAAGCAAAGGATTCCTTTTGAGTATTATGTCCCCAACTCGCTACCTTATGACTTGATTTTTTCAAGTATTTTATAGAAACTTTATATAAGTTTAGATTATACTTGAATGTATTTTTTTCTTTATGCTCATAAAATGGGGCAGAAGTGTAGAAATTTAACTAAGGTTAAATTTCTAGACTTAGTTAAATTTCTAGAGTATTTTGGATTAAGAGGTTGTCATGGGAACCAAATTTCAATTCTGAAGATAGAGAAATATGTCATGTAATGATGAAGCCCAGAAACAAATCAAGGGTACTTGAAATCTGTTAAAAAGGTTAATGGAATGTTATATGTCCCACCCAGATATCAGTAATCTTGTTAACCATGTCAGATTAACCAGTTCTTACCCTGTTCTTTCTTTTTCCCTCCCTCCTTTGTTTCCTTCTGTGTTTTCTGGGATTTTAGGAAATAAAGCTGAAAATGAATACCATAAACACAAAAATCTTTACTTTTAATATATTTTTGATCATTATAATTAACTGTGTTTGTGTTCTCATTTTTAACATACCAGTAGAATCTGTTCTGCGCAGGAATCTATAGGCAGCTTTGGTCATAATCTTGATACGTATTCCTAAGGAATTCCTTGTTTTGTGTATGAAATGAGAGTGTTCTAAGTTCTAAAGGCTTACAAGACATGTTTTATACCATTCGAATCTCTCCCTCCCTTTCTTTCTTTTCTTGGTAATAGAGATCAAGCTCAGGACCTTGCACATGTTAGGCAAATGTTTTACTAATGAACTACCCCTATTCTAATTTTAGTGAGATGTCTCAGTACCTTTTCAGGGGGTATAATTTGGGTTCTAGCTATTTTAACACACTTATTTTCAACCCATCAAGACCTGAACAGCTGTAATTAAAGAATGAGTCCTTAAAGATACAGTTATATTCAGTCTTTGTCTATTTTTGTACACAAAATTAGTACACAAAATATTCTGAATAGTATTAGATTCTTCCTGACTCCGCTGGGATTATTCTAATAATTATAGTAGTCACAATAATTTCTCAAGTATAGTATCACCAATTCAAAGTTGTTAGTAAGTAATGAGATACCAAGTAGCCTCCACTAATTCAAAAATAATAATGACAAAATATAATATCTCATAGCCCCTCCTCACCTTTTGAATATCAGGGAAGATAGTTAAAAATATTCATAGAGTTACATGTTTGTGAAATTATGTAGACAAATGACGTGTGTTCCTGCATTAGAGAACTTACAGTTTAATGGAAAGTAAAAATAAACGCATTTGAAAGATATGATCCACAAGTTAAAAATGAAATTAAATGTATTTTACTAGTTATATTAGTTGCATTTACAGTATATCATAAGAATTCATTTGAGTAGCAGTTAAGTGCATCCATCAAAATAATCAAAAGAAAATTTTTAAAAAGCTGTGTATGTATTAAAAATTAGATCACTTATAAATATGGAGCTGTATGTGTATAGAGAAACAATAATCAAAAACATAGCTCATGTTTTTGATGTTATATGTTTGTATATCCATGTTTGTATATCCATGGTTTCAAATAGCTGAAAGATGAAAGCAGCCCAGATATCCATTAACAGATGAATGGGCAAAAAGTGGTACAATACATGCAATAGAATATTATTTAGCTTTCAAAAGTAAGGAAATTCTGATACCATGTTAAGTGAAATAAGTCACTCATGAAGGGGAGAATACTCCTTGGTGAGGAGACTGAGGCAGCAAGATTGAAAATTCAAGACCAGCCTGGCCAGTTTAGTACCTTCGCAAGACCTATTTCTAAAACAAATACAAATAAAACAAAGGGCTCGGGATGTATGCTGAGAGCCTGAGTTCAGTAAGCACACACACACAAATACTGTAATTATTCTACTTGCATGAGGTATCTAAACTAGTGAAACTTACGAAAACAGAATGAAATGGTAGGTAGATTTCAGGGGCTAGGAGAAGGGGGAAATGATTGTTTAGTGGGTAGAGACTGATTTTTGCAAGATGAAAGGAGCTCTGAATATTTGACATTACATAATACTTAACACTTAATACTTAACACTGCACACTTTAAAATGGGTAAATGTTTATTGGCATATGTTTGTAATTCATAATAATTGCATTTGTCTTGGGAAATTGTTATACAAGTATTTCCTCTCCCCATCATCCCCTCTTCCATCTCCAAAATGCCTGCTTCCCTGTTTGCTGCTGTCTGAAATGGTTAAATTTATCTACATTTCCTTATAATAAAAAATTGAAAAAATACTTGGCCATCTTAACCATGTCTAAGTGTATGATTTAGTAGTATTGAATACATAATGTGCAACAATCACCACCATCCATCTCCATAATTCTTCCGTCTTATAAAACTGAAACTCTGTATCCATTGAACACTAACCCCGTTTCCTTCTCCAGCTCCTAGCAACCACCATTTCACTTTTACCTTTATCAATTTGACAACCTTGAAATACCTCAATAAATGAAATCATGAAGTATCTGCCTCTTAATTGATGTGTTTTACCACTGTAATGTTCTCAAGTTTCATCCATAAGGCAGTATGTTCTTCCTCACATTTTGTCCATCCATTCTGTCGATGGATAATTAGGTAGTTTCCATGTTTACTTACTGTGAATAACACTGTTGATGAGCATGGATGTTCAAATACCTCTTCATGACTCTGCTTTCAATCTTTTGGGTATATTTTATGCCACATGTATTCTGCAGTAGTTTAAAAAAAATCCAGTGAGACAGATGTGGTGGTGACTAGTAAACATGGTAGTGAATAGTCCAAAAAAATATGCCATATGAAAGAACCTGGCACTGTTTTATCTAAAAAAAATGGTCAAGACAGAAGTTATTTTCTCTGTCTTCTGACATTTTATGAACAAATATATGAAAGAGGAATTTATTTAGGACATTCATGTAAATTTGACAGATTTTGATTTCCTGTACATCACTGAAGAAGTTTTTAAGAAGACAGCTTACTTTCTATTTGAAGAATTGTATGGAAAATGCTTTCTGGCAATCTCTGGAACATTTATTTGGAGACCTAGCTCTTTAATAAGTCCAATTTGGATAGCACTGATCAAAATCTTAGCCACTAGATTAAACTGTTATTCCGAGTTCATTTTCCACTTTAACTTTTTGAGATTAAAAAAAAAAAAATAGGCATTGAAAAGAACCTAAGCAAAAGGACGATGTGGCTTGATTTGTATTAGAAACATCACTATGTCAACAGTACAAAGTCAAAACTGGGATAATGGAAGCAAAGAGACTGATTTGGAGGCAAGCGAGAAAATCATTAGAAATTGAATGAAGTCAGTTGATTAGGGGAAAAAAGTTTAAGCAATTCTATTGAGAAGTATTTAATATATGAAATAGTCAGTTTGGTACAAGCAAAGAGGAGTCTGAGTTAATTCTTAAACTTTATTACTCTGGAAATTCTGTAAATAGTGTTCACCTTGGCAGAGGTGGAGCATGTAGGAGGAGTGGCAAGTTTAAAGGGAAAGATCTTTGTGTTTAGAACTAGGAAACTGGTAACCCAGACTCACCTCAGATTAAGTAATAACATTAGGAATCAGTTGGAAAGTTGGATTTAGAATGTAGGAGCAACATCTAAGCTTCAGAAATAACTTAGGGAAGCTATGAAATAGATGTAAGAGGAACCGTAGTAAGTCTTTCTGATTTCTTATAGATGAAAGGAGCCTTCAGTGTAAAAAAGAGGACCCAAAACACTTCAGTTTTTAAATTTTATTTTCTTTGGAAAATTTCAAAGCCACCTGAAAATGACTTTTAATCAAATTATGATAGATGTTGTGCTACAGTTGTAAAATGTTTCTATAAAAATATCTTGGATCTGTGCCTGATTAATGGTTTAATTTTTGTTTGATATGAATGTCTTTTTATTCATTGTTTTTACTTTGTTCTTCATGAATTGACTTGTTGACCTTGAATATGACCAGTACAAATTTGTGATATGGCTCAATTAAAAAACCACACTTCAATGAAAATTGTACTTCTTTAACTATAGGAGCTTATACCTACCTTATGTTCTTTATTTACCTAAGGAAACGCAACTTCACCACAAGTCCAAAGACCATCTTTCATGGATTACTTTGATAAGCAGGACTTCAAGAATAAGAGTCATGAAAACTGTAATCAGAATGTGCACGAGCCCTTCCCTATGTCCAAAAATGTTTTTCCTGATAACTGGAAAGTTCCTCAAGATGGAGACTTTGACTTTGTAAGTATATTTTAATTCTTCTATTTATGTTTCTCCTTCCTTCTGTATTTCATTATCACTTTGAGACACTTAGTTCATAACTATGAACTGTGTATAAAATTTTAGATTGCATATTTTTATTCAGTATACAGCCATATATGGATTGATAAAAATAGTTTGGTTGCAGAAATGTACCTGTAGAGAAATATAAATATAAACAATTTATGATTAAATAAATCATACCTTGTATTTCAGAACTTAAAACTAAAATGACCACTATTTCAAAAGAGATGCTTAATAATGGAAATATTAGATACTTCTGGCAGTAAACATGGCTACCAAAATAAATGATCCAAAGATGTTTATGATATAAACAGTGCTCCAACTTTGAAAATTAACTGAATTAGGGGCTGGGGATTTAGCTCAGTGGCATAAGCACCTGCCTTGCAAGCAGGCAGTCGTGAGTTCGATCCCCGGTACTGATAAAAAGTTAAAAAAAAAAAATTAACTGAATTAGTTTCTACTTAAGTGTTATTTCTATTTGGTGTGTCAGAAAAAATATTCCTAGATAACATAGAGACTTTAGTGTAACACTGTGCTTTATTGCCTATTTATCTTGATGGGTTTTTTTTTGTTTTGTTTTTTGTTTTTTTTTTTTTGCCCTGCTCATTATTATTTCCTTTAAAGAATGCAAAGAGAATAATCTGTCTTAAAACAACTATATCCAGGGGCTGGAGGTTTAGCTCAGCGGCATAAGCACCTGCCTTGCAAGCAGGCAGTCGTGAGTTCGATCCCTGGTACCGATAAAAAGGAAAAAGACAAAAAAAAAAAAAACTATATCCAGACCTTGAAAGAATAAATTCCTAATATGAATCTTTAATGAAGTCAACTTTCTATAGAGTAAATTTTGCTTTAAATAATAAAATTTTAAATAGTAATTAGTTATTTTTGTATAATATCCTGAAAGATTTTTTTCCAAATAAAATTATAATATATTCATGAATACATTATTAATAACTAATATTTTAGATGTGTATATCTTTACAAATTTTTAATATTATGCCACATTGGTTAGACACCATGATGCTCAGTGCTTTGAGATTGTATCTTCAAGTGTTTTTCTCCTAAATTTTACGGCAATCAGATAATAAAAATTTTAAAAACTTACCCTCTGCAAATTCAGCAGTAATTGTTGGCAATTGTTAGCAGTGTAATTTACAAATTGGCCTGAAAACATTAACTTTAAAACTTATTTACCCTTTATCAGTAGCAAAGAAATTACAATAACAAAATCTCCATTTCTTTAGTTTTAGTAAGATATCATTGTAAGCTGTCTCTTTTTAAAAAAATTATAAATTATTTAGGATGCTGACATTCAGACTTTAAATCATTCATGATTCTGATGAATAATGTAGAATATTGAGCATCAAAGAACTCTGTCTTGTCTCAGTTGGAATAAATCTAATGGCCTCTGGGAAATGGTTTGAAATAAGTGAGCTACAAGTCATGGATAAATTATTTTTTTTTATTTGCAAAAAAGGATTAAGATAAAAAGAGGACATAACAAAACAGGTCAGAACAGAACAATTTAAGCAACATAGTGTTTCATCACAAGACACCCAACATGACAGTAGCTACATGGATAATTATTATAGTTAGGAAATACTAAATAAAATTATTTAATTTTGCTTCAGTTAGTCTTTGCTACCAACACAAACTTAACAGCTTTAAAAAATAACTTTTATTTATTTACCACTTTGTACAGTAATACTGTAGTTTGGTCAAATTCAACTAAGTGGTTCTTCTGTTGGTCTCAGCTGGGGATTTTTAAGTGACTACAGTCATCTGACAACTTGGCTAGAGCAGCTGAATAGTCTTTCTAAAATTTCTGCTCGTGTTTCTGGCAGTTGTGCTCAAATTTGGGCAGGTTGTGTGGTCTCATCAGGCAAGCCTAGGGTTTCTGGTGGTGGTGGTGAGAGCAGAATTTGAAGGCTCCTTGGCCTCAGTTTAGAATCCATACACACACCCTATCCATTTACAAAAGTGTCAGAAAGAATGAAATACTCAGAATATTCTTAACTAAGAAGGTAAAAGACTTGTACACTGTGAAATATTGCTGAAAGAAATTAAGTCATCATTACATAGAAAGATATCTATTGGTGAATTGGAATACTTAATGTTGTTAAGATGTTAATCTTGTCCAGTGCAATCTACAGTTTCATTGTAACTTCATCAAAATCCCAATGATGCTTTATGCAAAAGTAGAAAAATTCATGCTAAAATTTATACGGGGTTTACTTTTTGTGTGTGTGTGTCTTTTTCCTTTTTCATTTTTATCAGTACCAGGGATCGAACTCACGACTGCCTGTTTGCAAGGCAGGTGCTTATGCCGCTGAGCTAAATCTCCTATATGGGGTTCTTAAAGGACTACCAAATAGTTAAAACAATCTGGGGAAAGGAGACAAAAAAAGTTGGAGGTTTCTTATATCCATATTTCAAAATCTATTACAAAGCAAATGTAACAAAAAGTATGTGGAACTGGCATAAATATTGGCAGATACACCAATGGAATAGAATAGAGAGGCCAGAATTAAACCCCTATATCTACAGTCTGAGGATTTTCAACAAGGCTGCTCAGACTATATTGGTCAACTTTCCATCACCCTACCAAAATAACTGAGGCAGTTAGCTTACAAAGAGAAAAGATTTATTTGGGTTCATGATTTTTGAGATTCCAGTCTACGATCAGGCAGACTGTTTTTAGGCCTCAGGGAGGAGGTACTGGATGGCAGTGTTAGGAAATGAGTAGCCAAGCAAACTGCTTATCTCCTGGCAAGGAAAAAAAAAAAAGACAAAGGGGCCTAGGTCTCACAGCCTTCTTTGTGGACACACTGTCAGTGACCGCAGAACCCCTTACTACACTCCCCCACTAAATGCAAATATTTATCACTTTCAGTAGCTTACCCTGGGGACCAAGCCTTTAGCACATGGGCTTTTGACAGTATTCAGTATTCAAACAATAGCACCATTCACTGGAGCCAAAAAAAAAAGTCTTCTCAACAAATTGTAGTGACAAAACTAGTATTCACTTGAAAAAAGTGAAGCTTGGCCCTTACCTTACTCTGTGTACAAAAATTTCCTCAATGGATAAAATATTTAAATGTAAGAACTAAAACTATAAAATTTTTGGAAAGAAAAATAAGTCCTGACTTACAAACATTTGAGTTGCAACCTTCCCAAGTGTACTGTGTAACATTCACAGGCATGGGCTGGGGATATATAGAGCTCAGCAGCATAGCACGTGCCTGGCAAGCACAAGGTCATGAGTTCAATTCCCACAAAAAAAAAAAAAAAAAAAAAAAAAAAAAGATTCACACGTGTACTGTTCGAAACTCACTTTGTCAGATTACAGATGACTCTGATTTATGAACATTCTCCCAGAATGGAACTCATTTGGGTTCTTACTGTGAAGCTTCATGATTTTGGATTTGGCACTGTGGTCTTTGGATATGGTACCAAAAGCAGACAACAAAAGAAGAGATAGATAAATTAGACTACATTTCATTAAAAAATGTGGTGTTTACACACAATAGGGTACTGCTCTGCTATAAACAACAAACTTGCCTCACATGTAGGAAAATGGCTGCACCTTGAAACCATAACATGAAGTGAAATAAATTAGACGTACAGGCTTAAAGACTGCTTGGCTTATTTATATGAGAAACACAAAATATAAAGAGGGAGAACATACATAGTAAGTAGGGAGACAGATTTTGTTCAGATGGGAAGAAGATGGAGGAAAGGGGATAAATAAAAGAATTAAGATGTGTTGTGTACATGTACCAACGAATGGAATCATTATGTAGTGCAGACACATACTAATTTTTGAAAAGCTGAAAATTTTTGAAAAGCTTTTGTGGGCCAAAGAACACTATTACAGTGAAGGATAGCCCATGGAATGACAAAGGATATATATCTTATATTGAATAAGGGTTAATACCCAGAATATATAATGAACAACAGCAAGGAAAACAGTCAACACTCCAAACTTCTTAAATAGAGGTACACGTGAAAATTTTCTATCACCATTCATTAGAGAAATGCAAATCAAAACAACATTACTTAGTACCCATCCCATGATTATTATCAAAACACACAGTAACTGATGTGAATAAGAAGATAGGAAAAATTCAAACTCCTCCTTGCGTGCCACTGTGGGACCTATGAAGTAGTACTATTTCTGTGGAAAGCAGTATGATAGTTCCTCAAAAACTACTAATCATAAGATGACCATATGATCCAGCACTTATATTTCTGGCCATGTACCAAAGGAGTGAAATCAGTTACTAAGACAGATACTTGTGTACCCATGTTCACACTAGCCAGAAGGTGGAAGCAACCCAAATATCTATCCGCAGATGAATGGAGAAACAAAAATGCAGTATTCACATAGGCATTGTGATCAAAATTTATAGCAGAATGTTTAAATTTTAAACATTTATTGCAGTAAAAGACATTACCATTAATTCCTCTCAGATACTGCCCTTCACTTGAAACACACTAATTCCATCATTCTTGCCACTTTCCGACACAGTTATGGAAGTCTTTTGTGAGTGTCTTTGTGAAGTATCATGAAATAGGGTGAATACCACTGCCCAATGCTATCCAACAGAAAAGCAGGCTCCTAAAGACATTATAGTGCGTCTTCATCCACCTTATTCACTGGGAAAGCAGAAGTATCTTGGGTGACAACGAAGTAGACATCTTCAGGTCTTTGGTAGTTAATTTGGAGCAATATGGGAGATAAAATGAAAGCATAGATTTAGGTCAGATACTAGAAGATTGCAAAGTCTGAATTTTTACTTTATAGGGAATGGGAAGTTAGAGAATGACTGATAAAAAGAATCTTGTATGTATGATTGGTAGAAGAGTAGAGGTAAAATGTAATAATTAATCTTGACTGTCTGCTTGGTTGGCCTGAAGAGACACCTAGGAGGTGAGCAAAGCACACTTGCAGGTGA